ATAATAATACTTTAAGTTTTTTCTGTTAAATTTGTATCCCCTTGATCTCCTTCATTTGTCTCATTGCTCTAGCTAAAACTTCAAGTTTTATATTGAATAGACATGGAGAGAGCAGACAACCTTGTCTTGTTCCTGATATTAGTGAAATTGCTTTGAGTTTTGCAATGCAAATCCAAAAATACATCAAAATGGTCATCCACCATGATGAAGTAGCCTTCATCCCAGTGATGCAGAGATGGTTCAATATATGAAAATCAGTAAATAATCCACTATATAAACAAACTGAAAGAAAAAACATGATCATCTCATTAGGTACAGAAACGGCCTTTGACAAAATCCAACATCCTTTCATGATAAAAGTCCTGGAGAGATTAGGGATACAAGGGACATACCTGAACATAACAAAAGCAATTTACAATAAGCAAATTATATGGAGAAAAACTCAAAGCAGCCAATTTTCAAAAATGGTGCCAAGGACACAAAATGAGTATAATACAGTTTCACCAAGAAATGGTGTTTGAAAAATTAATTTTGTACACACAGAGGGATGAAATTTTACCCTTATTTTATATCATATGAGTATTAAATCATAATATATTAAAGATGTAAATACAAGATCTGCAACCTACAAAGTATAAAAGCATTGAGAGAATGTTCTATTGCATTGATTTTCAGAGACTGCTTCAAAAGCACTCCATCAGACTATATCAAACTAAAATTTTTCTACGAAGCCAATAAAATGAAAAATTGACCTTCAGAAAGGTATTTAAATCATGTATCTAATGGGGTTTAATATAAAAGTATTTAGAAGATTCAACCAAATAATCCTAAAAACATTTCATTATTAGAAGGTTAATTTAATATAGAAAGATCTTCTTTACTATTTTGTAGCTACGTATCACTCTGTCATGTGGACATACTCCAATGTATTAAATGCATTAAATGATAGTGCACTGAAGTTGTTTTCAATATTTCAATCATTACCTATTTTTAAGACAAATTATAATCATGAATTTCTTTAACATGAATTTTTGTCCTGCTTTTTAAAAAACTACTCTTTGTTTTAATCTCTCCAGTTTTCAAGTAAATATTCCTAATATCAATAAATATGTACGTCATATAAAATAATCTCATTTATATTTTACTGGACTAATGTGGAAAAATACTACATGAACATTTATAAAGAAAATGTAAAATGTAAGCTGAATAACAGGAACTTTAATCATCAGTTAACTCTATAAGCCTGGAAAATAAAACAATGTCAGAAAGAAAAACAGAGTGGACATCTCCTCTAATAATATATTTTATTATTCTGCCATTATATCTTGAGTGATGACACTGATGTTCATTAAAGTTTTAGAGAATGAACAAGTGATAGTTCACACACTGATTGACACGTCTGTGACTTGATCATTTTTAGAGTATACCTATTGATAAAGAAAAAAAACTATTTTGGTGTTTATTAAAAGGAAAAGAGAGAGTTTATTCAAAACTAGTGTGATGGGATAGGATAACACCAGATGCTAAAAACTGGGTTCAAGTCTGAAGGTAGTGAAGAGAGTTTGGGGACTGTCACCAATGAGCACAGGAGGAAGCCAGTGGATATAAAATCATTGAGAAGTGACATCAAGGTTGGGCAGAGATTTTTCTAAGTTAACCTACTGTGGGATGTTCTATATGGCAAATGTGTTGCTAATTAGTTAATAAATAAAACACTGATTGGCCATTGGCTAGGCAGGAAGTGTAGGCGGGACAAGGAGGAGAATAAAGCTGGGAAGTGGAAGGCTGAGTCAGAGAGACACTGCCAGCCGCCACGATGAGAAACAGCATGTGAAGATGCCGGTAAGCCATGAGCCATGTGGCAAGGTATAGATTAATGGAAATGGATTAATTTAAGCTGTAAGAACAGTTAGCAAGAAGCCTGCCACGGCCATACAGTTTGTAACCAGTATAAGTCTTTGTGTTTACTTGATCGATCGGGTCTGAGGGGCTGTGGGACTGGCAGGTGAGAGAGATTTTTCCTGACTGTGGGCCAGGCAGGAAAACTCTATCTACATTAACCTAAAAGGTTTCTTGCTAAATGCAGGCAAGAATGCTCAGACTTGGAGAAAGAAACATGGAAAATATTCTCAGATATTAAAAGTGATCACAATTCAAGAGTAAGTAATTCTCTCTAGACTAAAATTGGATTATGCTTTCTGAGAAAGTATGAGGATCAAAGCTGAGGCCTCTTGGAGAGAGAAGTAATGTTTGGTCAAGTAGTGCTGATCACTGTAATAACTGTAAACCAACCCATAACATAAATGAAGAAATAAAGAGAAAAATCACTGGGAGTGTGTGTGTGTGTGTGTGTGTGTGTGTGTGTGTGTGTGTGTGAAGCTTGTTTGCATTCATGTTTGCGAATGCCTGCATGAGAGTGAAAGAGGGCATATGTGTAGACATTAGAGGACAACCCTCATGTGTCAGTCCTCACTTTCTGCCTTGTATGTTTAAGGGTGTTAGTGTTGTTTGTCTGTGGCATACACTAGGGAACCTCCCAGGGATTCTCCTGTCTGTCTCCCTCTTCCTATAGTAAACTGGGGATTACAGACACCTGTGGTGTCCAGTTCTTTCATGTATTTTGGGGGATTTAAACTCAGGTCCTTATGCTTTTTCAACAATCACTTTTACCCACAGACCCGTCTCTCCAGTCCAGGAAATTATTTTTTAATAATCCAAATCATTAAACACAGGTTAAGTCATTTGCTACAGGATTTACATAAATTTAGATGAAAATATTTTGAAAGTTATAGAAAATAAATGCATTTATTGGAAAAATAGAAAATATACCCTGATGGACATCAGTTGTTCTGCAATGAATCACTATTAATAGCTACAAGCACTGTAGAGTTCTTTAAAAGGTTGAGGACAATTAGCTTATCCACTATTTCTTTTTTGAGGGAGGACACAAATTTCAGGTTGAAATAGGATGTGACAAAAATTCATTTTAATTCAGTGATAGCTATTTGTGGGACATCCAAGAGAGCATGAGGAGACATTTTTCCTCTAAATAAAAATGAATAGATTTAAGCTGCTGATAATTTAATAGTGAACAACGAAATACTATAAAATGCACGTTTTTATAACTAACCTAAGAAGAACAAGGTAATCAAGTTTTTTTGTGCTTGCTGCATTTCTAATAGAAAAGATTGGATTTGGAAGGGTTTAGCAAGCAATTACTTTCCAGTTGTACACACAAAAGCAATTAAATTAATCAGCTTCAAGTTGGGTAGAAACATTTTGCATATTGCCATTAGTTGGCTAGTTGCATGAATATTTAAATAAATTTTCACTTCATTGCCTAGGAAAAAAATCTATACGAAATCAGGGATTACAGCAACTTATCTCAGCAGAGTATCAACTCTTCTTAATTCTTAATTTAAGAAAATAGATCAATTGTTATGTCATTATTATGTCATGATTTTGTGTCATAAATATTTGCCCAGATCTTACCCTGCACAGCAAATAAACAGCTGAGTACAAGAGAACTCTGGGAAGTCTGTCAGGGCTCAGTCAATGAAGAAGAAACATTTGAAGATGTTTTAGTAACTAAAGGGTGTAATGTCAAAACATTTTTATAGAACCCCGGACAGATTTTATCTTGAAGGCTGATGACAGCTGTTGCTACTATCAGTCTCACTGCCATCTCAGAGACTCAGAAGGTTACAGAAACTTCTAGCAATGCGGCAAGCTCCCAGCCTCCTGCTTGCTGACTTCAGGCTGCCCCTTTCCAGAGAAAGGATAAGATACGATTTGTAAAATAGCCTGTTTAGAACACTGGGTTGTTGGAGCCCACCAAAAGAATAATTAGGATTTCACTTTCTTCCAGTGTCATGTGGACATCCCTCCTGGTGGGGTCTATTCTGCATCACAGCTCCACAATAAAAGAGAAAGTCAGATGAAGAAGTGTGATAGCGGCATGTAAAAGGAACCTAGTAATAGAGAAATATCACATTATAGGGTCAGAGACTTAGATGAACATAATCAAACTGTAAGAGAATGAGTTTTTATTATAAATGGAAACAAATCTAGTTCTACGTTTTAGCTATTGAGTGTATTTAGCTACTGCATGTGAACCATATCAGTACATATGATTGTGTGGTTGACCTTCACAATACTTACATTGTGCTGCCTTTTCAAATGCATGTTGATATCATATGTGCATTTATTATAGTCCCCTAGATTATTTATTAAGAATGGATATCTAGCTAGAAATCTCATCCAATGACTGAGGAAACCAGATGCAGAGATCCACAGCCAGGCCACAGGTGGAGCTCCAGGAGTCCAATCGGCGAGAAAGAGGAGGGATTGTATGAGTGAGATTTGTTGAGACCAAGATTGGAAAAAGCACAGGGACAAAGAACCAAACAAATGGAAACGCATGAACTATGAACCAATAGCTGAGGAGCCCCCAACTGGATCAGTCCCTCTGGAAAACTGAGACAGTTGATTAGCTTGAACTGTTTGGGAGGCATCCAGGCAGTGGGCAGTGGGACTGGGACCTGTCCTCAGTGCATGAGTTGGCTGTTTGGAACCTGAGGCTTATGCGGGGACACTTAGCTCAGCCTGAGAGGAGGGGACTGGACCTGCCTGAACTGAATCTACCAGGTTGAACTCAATTCCCAGAGGAGTCTTTGCCCTGGAGGAGATGGAAATGGGATGTGAGCTGGGGGGAAGACGGGGGCGGGGGGGGGGCAGTACAAGGGAATCTGTGGCTGACATGTAAAATTAAATTAAATGATAAAATAAAATTTAAAAAAAAAAAAAAGAATGGCTATCTAGCCAGGCGGTGGTGGCACACGCCCTTAATCCCACCACTCAGGAGACAGAGCCAGGGAGATCTCTGTGAGTTCAATGCCAGCCTGGTCTACAGAACGAAATCTAGGACAGGTACCAAAACTACACAGAGAAACCTTGTCTTGAAAAAACAAAAAACAAAACAAAACAAAAAAACAAACAAACAAGAATGGATATTTAATATATACATACTTTTTTTTTCCAAACAATCATCTTTTTCAGCCAAAATATGCCAGCCATATACTGTTCTTCTTCCTTTTTCCTGTTAGTTCTCAGAGCTGATTTCTGTTGAGTTGAAAAACAATACACATATTTTATGATCCTTCATAAGACAATAAATGGGAAATCAGTGAAATATCTAAAAGAATAATTCATTCAAGAAATGGGAAAAAAGTTTACAGAATCAGTATGCTAAGGTCCAAATAAAATATACGCTGTTAAAGTTGTATGCCATGCTGCATATTTAAAAGGGCAGTATTTGAATTATTTTAATAGGGATACTATCAATGCAGAAAAATTCTAGTTCTTTTTTTATTATTTAAACAGATAAAAATACAAGAAGAAAGTTATAAGTTCCCTCCGAATTCAACTTGTAAAAAGTAGCCACGACTTCTGTTGACTTCATTTTAAGAAAAACAATACTTACAGATCAACTGTTTGGCCAAAAATAATATAGTCAGCAGAAAAGCGTCTGTTGTCTACAATGGAGACTATAGAAGCTGGAGAAGGTTAGTTCATTGTCAAAGCATAGAAAACAGGGCCACTTGGATGATATTTCAGCTGTGACATCATGAACAAGATTTAGGTTCTTCATTTAATTTTCTAAGACTCAGTTGTTTCTTTATAAATCAAATAATAATAACTATTTGAATTTAAAAATCCTGCTTTGTGCTAGGATTTCTGAGAGTGTCCCTCTGGCCGTATTGGTGACAATGATCTACATTGCCTTATTGTTGATGTTCTCACAGGAGGGTATTGCTATTAATTCTTTCAGAAGGAACTATATATTACATACTATATATCAGTGGTTCTCAATCTGTGGGGCATGACTCTCTTGGGAGTCATATGACCTTTTCACAGGGGTTGCATATCAGATATCCTGCATATCAGATATTTATATAACAACTCATAATAGTAGCAAAACTATAGTTATAAAGCAGCAATGAAATAATTTTATGGTTGGGGGTTACCACAACATGAGGAATTGTATTAAAGGGTCACAACATTAGGAAGGTTGATAATCACTGTTATATATGATATATATGAATATATCATATAAAAATGTCTAGTCATATAACATACAGAAACACACACATATAGCTGTTTTGTTAGCTTTTACATGAGACATGTGAACAACTGTGTATGTTTTCTCACCCCAGATAAGTAACAAGCAACAGATGAAATGAATGAGTCTACCACAATTCATATTGGTGAATGAATTAATTGATTGGTTTTCTTAGGAGTGTGGTGGAAGAGTTACACACAAGAGCATGAATAACACCGGTATCATAAAAGCAGCCCACCACATCATTGTTATTGACTCATTAAAGCTGCCATCCAAGTGTTCCTTATTTGATTTGCAGGCAATCACTAGGGCAGAGAGTCTCCTGAGCCAAAGCATCTGCTTTGGATATAGCTCTATATGCTGTGAAGGTGTTGCTCTGATTTGATTGATAAATAAATACTGATTGGCAAGTAGCCAGGCAGGAAGTATAGTATAGGTGGTATAAGCAGAGAGGAGGATTCTGGGAGGATGAAGGCTGAGTCAGGGTCACCAGCCAGACACAGAAGGCGCAAGTTTTAAAAGTACCAGTAAGCCACAAGCCATGTGACAACTTATAGATTAATAGAAATAGGTTAATTTAAGATATAAGAACCACCTGAGCGGTGGTGGCGCACGCCTTTAATCCCAGCACTCGGGAGGCAGAGGCAGGTGGATCTTTGTGAGTTCGAGGCCAGCCTGGTCTACAGAGCAAGATCCAGGAAAAGGCGCAAAGCTACACAGAGAAACCCTGTCTCAAAAAACCAAAAAAAAAAAAAAAAAAAAAAAAAAGATATAAGAACCAGATAACAAAAAGCCTGCCATGGCCGTACAGTTTATAAGTAATATAAGTCTCTGTGTGTTTACTTGAGTCTGAGTGGCTGCAGGAGCCAGGTGGACACAGGAAAACTCCAACTATATAGGCATCCTTACTCCTTATGTATTTAAGAGTGGCTCTGTGAATCCTTCAAAGTTCAGGAGTCTCATGAGACTTAGGAGCTGTTCCCTCTCATGAAACCAGCCTTAAGTGCTATCAGAAATCAGTTGATTGCTTTTATCTACTACTTTCCAAATCATAGGTTAGTTTTGTTGTTGTTGTGTTTTTGACACAGGGTCTCTCATGTAACCTTTGTCCTGGAACTCACTATGTAGACTAGGCTGGCCTTAACTCATGGAGAATCACCTGCCCCTGCCTCCTAAATGATGCGACTAAAGGTGCTAAAGGTGTGTTCACCATGTCTGATCCAAATCACAGGTTAATTTTTAGCCAAGCAATTTCATGTCCTTCTCCCATTGTAACACCTATCTTGTTTGGGTGCGTTCTTTCCGGAAAGACAGATGAACTTTAGTCTATGCCTTATCACTTACAACAATGGCCATGCAAATGATACCATAATCTGCTTTTGGATATGTCTCTCATATGTTACTTTTAAGAATTGTAATACATTATTTAATCCACCAGGTTTTGCGAAGCATCACCATACTGATGAGTCAAACCAACTCATCAGGGAGGCAGACCACTACTTAGCACATAAAAAGAGGGATTTACCCCAAAGATTCTCAGCTCACCCTTGATTTCATGTCCTATCATCCATTTGGGGGAAGATGAAACCATTGTTATTCAGGAAGTCACACAAGCCCATAAAACAAGGGAAGAGACAGACATATCAAGATTGCTCTTGCAGATGCTCCACACACATGTACATCGGCTTCAGCTGGATGCCTCAGCACACACTGCAAGGGTCAAGTCTCTTTCAGCTCATCTTTGGAATGATCAGTTGCTATTTGGGCACCAGTTGCGGGAACCTTTTTGCGGGGAGCCATGTACAAATGCCTATTCACCTCAGATAATGAACAACAGACAAAGGTAGCCAGTGAGTTTTTTGCGGTTAGGTATAATAGTATGGGTGAAGGGTTATTTAAAGGGATATGAATTATTCTAGGATAGCTGCATCACCAAAATGTCTGCCTCAGCATACGTGACAACTCATGAAAGTTACAACCCTGGAACTGCCTAGAAAGCTGCAATTCTGAAGCTCCCTGCACGATTGCAGGCATCTCTGTAGGTCAGAATCGCCTCCAGGAAGCCCAGCCTGTGGAAAGCCTTCTTCCCACAGGTGTCCTCACTATGTGTAGAATCTTGGGAAGGAGCCTTGTCAACCTGTACATTTCAACAATTTCATAAGATGTATTTACTTCCTGCATCTTAATAAACCTCGCTAGAGTATGGAACATTCTGATTTAGAACTTCCTGGCGGTTTCAATTCAAAGGAAATTGCTAAGCAACAGGCATCTCAATATAGTCTCTTAGAACTGAAATATTTTGTCAGAGTAATGATCTTGTAAAGAAAGTATCTATTAGAAGGAAACAATTTTTTTTTGGCTTGGCTAACAACAATTTCATCACCTAGTAACTAACCAGATAGAGTTAATATGAACACAAGCATTGTTCTAGTTTGATTTATGCTGCTGTATTAAATACCATGACTAAAAGTGCCTCGGGGAGGAAAGGGTTCATTTCATTTACAGTTACAATCCATTCCACCACTGAGTGAAGATATGCCAGGAATTCAAAGTAGGAGCTTAAATGAGAAACCACAGAGGGGACACTACTTAATGACTTAATCGCAGTCTCATCTTCACCTACCTCTCTTTTTCAGACTAGGCATAACTGCTTAGAGATGGTACCAGCTACAGTGGTCTGGGTTGACCTACATCAACTGGCAACCAAGAAAACGCCCCACAGACATTCCCACAGGCTGCATCTAGTAGGGGTCATTCCTAAACTGATACTCCTTCTTTCCAAGATCATCAAGTTGACAACTAAGATTAGCCACTATACATATGTATTTTTGAGGTAGAACACATAATATTATTAAGATTTACCATAAAACACAAGAAAAAATGGCCTTCTCTTGCAAATGCACAAATCCAGCTTTCATGCAGGCCACATTTGGGAAACCGAGAAAAAACTATGTCAATACAGAAAAACAAACAGAAAAACTGTCATCAATAGGATAATGACTGTAAGATGGCTGAGCAGATATGCTTCCATCTTCTTCATTGCTTAGATCTCATCCAAATTTAATAAATGCAACAAGCAATAAAATAAAAAAGTAAAAGACATCTGCAACCACAACTCAGAGACAAATGTATCCGGATGAATGAAGAACATGTCAAAATTCCAAGAGGGAAGATCACTGACCTTTGTCAGACAAAGGAGGTGATGTTAAAACTCTCCACAGGAGAGTCTCTAATGAGAAGTAGTAGATGGCAATACCATTACTAACGATTATCCTGGGTTTGCTTTAGGTAGCAGGAAAAAGGAACAGAGTTAATTGTGAAACATGGACCTTAACATGTTGAATGTTCATTCTTGGCCAAGTGGAGTGTGGAGGAGAAGATGAAGGAGAGGTGAGGGTATATAACCCCTTCTGCTGTCTGGGAAGACGCTCACCATGGCATACAAGCACACACTTCTGTGCTGTTCTCTGGCAATGCTCAGGACTTCATGTTAACACTCAGCCCTCCTTCTGTGCTTCTTTTATATGAAAAATTATAAACATTGATTTCCAGAAGAACATATTTCACTCCAAGATGAATATATTTTAACAGAGGCCAACATAGAAGGTATATTTTTAAAAGTAGAACAGGAAAGTGAAAGTATGAACACATGGGAAAGAATAATATTGACTTAGAAATATTGTCATGAAGCAAGATGAAAAAATTATGAACAAATATAGTTTTCTGAATAAAAACAAAATGCAATGATTCAGTAACTATTTTTTCAAGAGGAACTCAAAGCAGTAATCAGGAAAGATCATAAAAGAACAGATGGTATGGAATTTTAAGTGGCAGGGCTAAGGAAATAAATGAGAAATAAAATCACAGAATTAAACAATATTGAAAACTATACAAAGAAAGAAGATGTACTACTGCAGATATCAGAACATAAAGTACAAATGAAAATAGAAATAAATAAAGAAAAACGATTTAAAAGAAGATAGATGTGGAAGAGCAACAAAAATAAATCAACTTATAGAAAACCATTGTTCTTGGAACAGTAAGTCTAAATAACTAATAAAATAAATGCTTAGAATTATGTAAGCCACATTTTCAGATCTATTTAACTGGAAAACCTGAAACTATAAAACTATGAACAAATTTCTGTATAAATTTTTTGTTTATATGGGTGACCTAAAATAGTTCTCAGTGAGTTCCTGGAATTTATTATTAATGAAAACTCCAGGGCTTTGGGTGTAGCTCAGAGATAGAATGTTAACTCATCAGGCCCAGTGGCCTGTGTTTAGTTTCCACACTGGGAAGGAATGCAGGGAAGACAATTAAGAGGTAAACAAACAGAAGAACAAAGGAGCAAGGGTTAATCCAGATACCCTAAGCAACCACTTAGAAAACGGAGGAACAAAGTAATTTGACCTTTGAGTTCATTATACTAAGAGAGCAAAGCGAGGTAGGAGGGGAAATTACTTATGACAAAACACCTTTATATTCAGTTAACTTTCATTTTTGTAATGCATAAAGATGGCATTCTTACAGTGAGGAGTCATCAGAACTTGGGGAAGATAGGAAGTCAACTAGTCATTGAGGCATCACAAAAGAGTACAAGCATTTACCTTATCTAATCCTAGGGCTTAAGCCACAGTGAGCAATGAATTTGCAAGTATTGTAACTAAAGTGTTAAAAAAAAATGTGTAACAAAAAGCACATCTTTCATAATCAAGTGTACAGGGAATGCAATTAAATAAGACTATTAAAATGCTTTTATTTATATTTGAAGGAATCAGCTGATGGCATAGATATTGCCCTTCTGAATTGAGGATTACTAACTCAAAGTTCACAGACCTAGTAGAGTGTTTTCAGCAAATAACTCAGTATGGAAGGGTAATAATATACTCTCTTTTCTACACTACATGAAACTTCTGTCTCAAAATGTGCTCATTAGTCTGGCTGCAACCTTGCTAGATAATTCCAGCGAAATAAGACATGTCAGAGAAGCCATCTTACCCTTTTTCTCCAGATGCCTCCCATTGTCCCTTGAGAGTACTTCACACATGTATTTTGTCACCTTCCTGTTCCATTTTAACATCTTCTTCCAGAGAATCTGTACCAATAAGCCAAGTAAACATTAAAAGAACTGACAACAAATACCAATTCTATTCAAATTCTGTGATGGAGGGAGGAAGGGAAGATGAGTTTTGATCAAATTGCCATAAATGTGTCCTAGTATCTAGACAGGACTCAACACATAATCTAAGAAGGTAGCCTTAAAGTCCTTGCAACTTTTAAGACTACATTTGTCAAAACTATTTTTTATTTTTAATATATTGTGGACTTGACCACACATACATATAATACACTAAGTGAAACTACAATGTAGTAGATTCAACAAAGAACAAAAGAACTAAAACAAAGATGTTTAAATTAATAAATATAAATAAAATATTTTAGACAAAATCCCCACATAATATAAGCAAAACAGATGGAAACAACAACAAAAAATGGGGGTAGTTGGATTTTCTTCATTCCATATTCAGAAACATTTATTATTATTTTCTCTAATTATTTAATTGTGTATCAATTGCATTGGCTATATTAAGCAAAGATTCTTTCTGTATGCCTTTGAACTTTGTCAAAAGTCCTCATAACTTCCTTAGGAGTATCTGAGAATGTTTCTAGCTCCATGAGTAAAATGTAGAGTTAGCTAGTTTATCATTTTTTTCTGATTTTACTGCGATATATTTAGGGCTATGCATTTTCCTCTGAGCACCACTATAGTGGCATCTTATAAATTTACACGCAATATTCAATATCCTAAGAATTTAAAGGTTTTATTCAGCTTATTTATTGATTTTACAGTTACACTGAAAGAGTGTGTTATGTATTGAATATTTTTGTCACCCTCTCAAAATACATTTGCTGAAATCCTAACTCCTAATGAGATGATATTAGTAAATATAGCCTTTGGGAAGTAATGGAAGAGGATAACTTAAAAATGGGATCTGTGCCTTGATAAGAAGATGTGACACCCCCTTTCCTCATTTTGCTCACTATCTTGTGAAGAAACAGTGAAAATTCAGGCTGTCAGCAAACCAGGAAGCACACCTCACAAGGTACCAGATCTGCCAGCACATGGTTAATTTATTTGTTGTGAAAGACAGTCTTAATATATACAGTCCTGGCTGCCCTCAAACTTTATATTCTTCTACCATAGCCTCTTGAGTACTGGAATTACAGGTGTGCACTGAGTTTCTGCAAGTATTTTGATGTTGCCCCTCCCCCCCAAAAATGTCAGGCTAAACAGTAAAATGCTGTCATTTAAGCAATCTAGATGATATTTTTGTTGTAACAGTTCAAACTGACTAAGGTATATATGGTGGACTTATTTTATCTCATCTTATTATGAAAATTTATTCTACTGTGATGGCTTCTGTGGGAAAGAAAGTCAGTTTTCTTGAAGAATGTGGCTCCTAGTACTTTTACTACACTGCAGTAGCTAGCCCACACCAAGAAGTAAGCAGACAGCACAGATTAAGGTCAACAGGTTATGAAAGAGAGAGGTGGGGAGGAGGGAGGGAAGGAGGAAAAGAAAAAATAAAGTGAAATTGAGAAGCCAGAAAGGTAGGGATAATTTTGAGAGGAGTTAACTGTCGGAGTTGAGGGATCGATTTGATCAAAATATAGTGTACAAAATTCTCACGGAATTAGTAAAATGTAATTTAAAAATTGTGATAAGAAGATGCTGTGTAGACTGTTTTTGTACTTAATATCCATGTTTCAACATAGGCACACTTTACCATAATCATGAACTCTGGAAAGAAGTTTCTGTTTCGACTATCCCCAACATTTTAATCATAATTTTAGAAGTATTTTATGTAATTTTCATTTTTGTGTTTAATCTTTTCTAGAATAGAAGGGAAATATAGCATTCTGAGGATGCAAAAGCAACTCACCATCATAAGACGTCATTCCCAGACGTCTTACACAACATTATCATCAAGGAAAACATACTCTCCCCAAATTGTGAAATCCAGTATCTTAATGCACAGTATGTGTGTGCCTAGAAGATAATTACTTAGTTTTTAGATCAAACTCACTTGACAGTTTTTCTACCAGTGTGAAAAAATATAGTTCATAAATGTGCCTTATGTTAAACATTGTGAAAAAGATGTGAAAAAATTCAAGATAAAATAATGATTGATAAACATGATACACTGATGTCAGAACAAGGAGAAGAAATGAGCAACCAGTGTTGTTCCTGTTATGCAAGATATTGTGGTCATGTTAATTTCTTCCTTTCTCCACAACCTACATCCTGTGTTTCACTGCCCAAAATACATTAACTGACCTCAAATGTCAACCCTGTTAAGACCAAGCAATAATAATAAATAAAACTGATAATTGTGTAATGGTAACCCAAGCACATATACTTCTGGTCATTCATTTTCACAGAAAGAAACTGATTCTCTCTTATACCAATCATATTTCAATCCAGTAGAAGCTACACTTCTGATTGTCCCACAACATACTTATTTTTTTCTTTAATTTGAACTTTTATTTTTATTATTTCACATGAGTATAATGCCAATTCATATTTGAATGAGATTTTTTTTTAGAATTTTAATCATTATTTGTGTGTGTGTGTGTGTGTGTGTGTGTGTATGTGTGTGTATGTGTATGTGTGTGTACACTATATGTGCCTGTATGCCACAACTGGCATCTGGATGTCAGAGGACAACTTTGTGGAGTACATTCTCTTCTACTCTTACATGGGTTACTAGAAGCAGGTCTCGGAGTGTCCAGACTTTTACAGTAAGAACTTTGACCCAGGAGTCATCTCAGAGTCCCCTTAGTGATTCATCTGTTACTCAGCCCATCTGTTTTTCTGAATATGTAACTTATCTATTTCCCACCCTGGGCATCTAATCCTAGTGAACTTCAGAAGATCCTGCGCACATGAGCTAAAGAAACAGTGGCCATGTGCTGTTTATTTACGGTAATGTATGACCAACTCTGCTGTGATGATACTACTGGTGGAAAATACAGTTATGCTATTTCTACTTGTTTTCCTTAAAATTAATAAACTGTCCTTTTTCCAATCTAAAGAAAACTACTTATCTATTCATTTCCTGGATCATTCTATCTTCCTGCAGAAATACCTTAAGACCTTAGACAAATATCTTTCACAGGAAAACAAAATGATTAGGATTAAATTATCTCATCTGTTTTGCAAAGCATGAATTACATTTGCAAATCCAATATTTCTTGTCAATTAATAAAATAAGTTTCTGTAATTAAAACTATGAAATTTTACAATGCGATACTTTGTTCCAACATGTATTGAGATGAGTCTGAAGTAGCCAAATGCTTCCTTCGGATTATTACCTCAAAGGTACTGGAGTGTCAGGATGGCTGCACACAGAATCAGAAACTTTTTCAATGAAAAAAAACTAAACAAAACAATCTCCCCCATAATTAAATACAACCACACAGGAATTAGTAGAGGAGTGATAAATATGTTTATTATTTTTCTATTGAGTTTAGACTTAGTATGGCCACCAACAGCAATAATTTATTGACTTAAGGATGTTAACACAAAAAATATGACACATCTATATATATGAATCCATTGTTAAAATGACTCAGATGTTGAACTTTAAAAAGATAAAATATTCAATAAAATTCAAGCTGGTACACATCCAATTAGAGAATTGTAAAGATAAACAAGTTTGGGAAAGATAAGGGTGGCGTCAAACATTGTAAATACGTGGGCATTATATTCTACCTTTCTTATGGACATTAAACAAAATGACCTTGTGTAGAAGTTAGGGAATGATTTTTAATGATAATGATGAGCTCATCCAATGATAATTAATGACACTTGCATATGCCAAGAAATAATTCACTCTTACCAACACCAATTCTTGAAATTATATCATAAGAAAGCACTTTTAACGTGGGTTTCCCATTAAGATTCAATATCTTAATAAACCTGAATAAAATAAAGCAATATTATGGCCTTTGGAACATAGCATGAAAAATTCATAACCACACCAAAAAAAAAAAAAATCCAAAAAAAAGAAGGTTGTAAGAATAAGGGGAGCTTTTTCCCTTTAGTGAATACTGAAAAGTGTCTTGTAAATATCCTAATTCCTTTCTTAATATGCAAATCTCTCATATAAAAAAAGCTTGCTGTCTCTGTAGGCTGGCTGCAATTGAGCTTTTCTTTGGTAGCAGCATCTGCATGCAAGTGCACACTAACAGTCTTTCACCTTTTTCAATGTCCTCTGGTGCTAATTGGAGATGTCTGTGATGAGCTTTGAATATGCAGGAAATGCTTAGCAGGAGTCCCGACATTTGCAAATGGAATTTTCTGGCTAGCTTGTTATTCACTATCTATAGTAAGATTTGAGCTGGATTTTTATTAAACCTTAGTTTTCTTTGCAATATTTAAATCATTATCCTTTTTTAGAACTGAACATATGTTATTGTAATCTGAAAATGTGATTTTAATGTATTTTGTTGCATGACTCAATGGTGATATTTAAAAATAGAAACCAGTGAAATGTTTGTTTCAGGCTTCAAGGTCATGACATTTATTTTTGTCATAACTTTCATTGCAAGCATTAATATTTTGCATTTTCAGTGATGTACTCCCCACTGTAAAAATAAGCATTTCCATTATTATTGAAAAACATAAAATGCCCGTACTGAAAGGATTATAATTTTAGAGATAATTAGCTTTATTTTCAAGCTGTCATGCAATGTACCCTTTCATAATAAGCTCCATTGGTTTGCTAGGAAAAGAAAGAGCTCCTACATCATCTAAAACAGAGAAGAATGTGCTTCTCTGTAGGAGACAGGCTAAGAACAAGGGGTTGACTATTATCACAGGCACAAGAGAGAGAAGGGACTGAGATGGGGCAAAGAGGGCAGGGGTGAGAAACAGTGAACACAGAATAACGGGGTGGGTGGTCTAACTTCCACTCTTTCTTGCTTTCCTCCTCATGAGCCAGAGTTACCAGACTATAAAATGTTTTGAGCAATAAGAGACTTTTGTTAACTTCATGTGAAAAATAGCCTATCAACAAAATGTCAAGAAATAAATTAAGAAATTGACAAATCATCAGGCCAATGAGCACTGTGTAAGGCTTTTGTTAGCTATAACAAAAGCCTGGAAGTTGACACAGATGGAAATGAGCAAAGAGAAGTGCTGTGGGATGGTCTGTATGTCAAATGTGTTGCTGATTAGTCAATAAATAAAACACTGATTGGCCCGTGGCCAGGCAGGAAGTATAGGCGGGACAAGGAGGAGAATAGAGCTGGGAAGTGGAAGGCTGAGTCAGAGAGACACTGCCAGCCCCCACGATGACAAACAGCATGGAAAGATGCCGGTAAGCCACGAGCCATGTGGCAAGGTATAGATTAATGGAAATGGATTAATTTAAGCTGTAAGAACAGTTAGCAAGAAGCCTGCCACAGCCATACAGTTTGTAACCAATATAAGTCTCTGTGTTTACTTGGTCAGGTCTGAGTGGCTGTGGGACTGGCAGGTGAGAGAGATTTGTCCTGTGGGCCAGGCAGGAAAACTCTATCTACAGAGAAGTATTAACAGTATTGTCATAAGCAAAACTCCCTGAGAGCACCATTTTCAAAGAAAGTTTACATTTCTTCATCATCAAGTTTACCATGAGATCTTTCTCAAGAAGCACACAATTTCATAGTGATAATTTTAGATACGGAGCTATACATCAGAACACTAGAACATTCTTGTGACTCTGAACCTTTATACTTGTTAGTCAGCAAAGTAGAGTTTTGTTGTTTTGTTATTAATAACAATCTACAGACAGCATTTAAGACTACCCACCTGAGGTCTACACGTCCCCTAGCATTTTTTCAGAGTACTCCAATGTTTCCGCTTTTCCTGTATCATGATCTAATGTCTTGCGTTTTTTGTTTTTGTTTTTTTTTTTTCTTAGATTTGCTTCAAACTTGCCTCCTGCTGATTTGTGTTACTGTGTTTATAGTTCACGAATTTGTTACCACTTAGCAACCTGAGACAAAAGCCTCTGCCTTGAGCTTCCTGTTTAGGTCAGTTCTGTAATTCTACACCATCTCTGCAGACTGAACATTCTTTTTTTTAATTCAAAGATAACCAAGTAACTCTCTTCCTTACTAGTTAAGCTGCTGTTTTTATCTTTATAACACAACCTGACAAGAAGCAATTTACAGGCAATGTTTCTTTTGCTCACAGTTCTGAACCAACAGTCCCTCATGGTGAAGAAGATGGTATGAAAGGCATGGATCAGGACCAGCTCTAATCCAAGCAGTGGCAGGGCATTCAACCACATCTGGGTGAATATGGAAGCAGAGAAGGCAATACCTAGAATCAAAGGATTTCTCTTTTACCCTTTTATTTGATCTAGGGCCCGATCTCATGAATGATGCCACCCACATCCATGGCACTTTCATTCTTTGCTTTACCTGAAATGTGTGACTAAGCATTCATTACTCCAGACTGTGGTGATTAGCCACCGTTCTTGTGATTTTCTTTATTTTTTCAAACAATTGTCTTTATATTTACTTACATTTCAAGAGAACTGGAAGTGGGAGAAATTTTATACTATCTACATTCAATCATTCTATGAAATCAATACCCATATTTTCTTGAACTTTTTCTAATTTCTAATTTCTAACATTTTAACTGGTTTATTTGTAAATTGAGGTATGTACACATTTTGTTGTAATGCTAAGACTCCAACTGTGGAAACTGAAACAATGCCTATTAAAGTAAATATTACAGCTATCAGTAACCCAGTGAATTTTTTAATTAAAAAAAAATCTTCTTTTTCATTTTACATACTACTTCCAGTTCCTCCTTGATTTCCTTCTCCCATGCCCCACTTCCCCCCATCCCATCCCCCATCCACTCCTCAGAGAGGGTAAGGCCTCCCTTGGGGAGTCAACAAAGTTGTAATACTAAATTGAGGCAGGACCAAGCCTCTCCCACCTGCGTCAAGGCTCAGCAAGATATCCCACCCTAGGGAATGTGTTCCAAAAGTCATTTCATGTACCCAGGATAAGTCCTGGTCCCACTACTAGGGGTTCCCCAAACAGATCTCACCACATAACTGCCACCCACATTCAGAGGGCCTAGTTTGGTCCTATGCATGTTCCCCCAGCTGACAGGTCAGTCTCTGAGTTCCCACCAGCTTGGGTCAGCTGTCTCTGTGGTTTTCTCCATCATGATCTTGACCTCACTTGCTCCTATAATCCTTCCTCCTTCTCTTCAACTGAGGTCTAGGAGCTCAGCCCAATGCTTGGTTGTGGATCACTGCATCTACAGATGCAGTGTTTTTCTTTTAGAGGAAATCTTCAGAGAGTAATGAACTCACATTTCCAGGAGAAGATCCTGGTATCCTTGAAAAGGACAGACCGTAAGCAAAGATGTGAAGGAGAAAAGTTACCATCTACCATCGAAGACTTCCTTTTTTTGGACAATTCCTTGTTACTTAAGGTTTTGAATAATGCTTTAGGGGATCCAGGTCTAATGCAATATCTGATGAGTACTGGATTCACGTGACATGACAACCTGTCTATGTGTCTTTAGTTGTGTCTAGTTTTCAATGAACTTTAATGTAGTTTACTAAAAAAATTTATAAAGCACCAATTATAGAAAATGATCATCCTACCCACCCTGTTTTTATCATCATCAATTATAGAATACATGCATAAACTTGCTGTATTTCTTAAGTACATGTGATTTTTTAATCAATTAAAAGGAAAATAGAAAATAAGGAATTAAAGTGTCATTTTCTGTCTTGTGCAAAGACCATCCACTAACTCATATAAAAGCCGCTATTATGAAGGATCATGAAAAGTGTCTGAGGAGAGAACACATCTGTGATGAGAGAAGAAAGAGTACACTCCACCAAGTCCTGCATGCATGGAGGAGATAAAATGTCACCTCCAGCAACTCATTATACTTACATTCACAAGGTCTTTAATGATTGACTTCTTCTTTGGTTATTTTAAAAGTTTTCTGGATGCAATCATGTAGTCAGAAGGTTTCTCTGGTCCCTCCAGGCTCCAGCAGTATCTTGGCCTGCTTATAAAATAATCACTCAGAAGCTTATATTAATTATAACTGCTTGGCCATTAGCTCAGGCTTATTACTAACTAGTGCTTACACTTAAATTAACCTATAATTCTTATCTATATTTAGCCATGTGGCTTGGTATCTTTTCTCAGGTCTGCCTTGACATCTTGCTTCCTCTGTGTCTGGCTGGTGACTCCTAACTCAGGCTTTCCTCTTCCCAGAATTCTCATTGTCTCCTCACCCTGCCTATACTTCCTGCCTGACTACTAGCCAATCAGCATTTGATTTATCAACCAATCAGAGCAACACCTATTGACAGCATACAGAATGATGTCCCACAGCACAATCATGTTAAAAGGACAGAAACTCAAAGAGTATAAATGCAAACAAGGATGAAAGGTAGGACAATCTGAACAGTCCAATGAGCAAATAGCACTAGATTAACAAATGAAAATATCATCAAGCACGTAACCAATGTAGTATTGGTGCGAAAAAAGCAAATATCTATAAGTGCATACAAGTATAAAAACCAAGAAAATAAATTTGCAAATAGATTGAAAGAAACAAATCTCACATAAAATAACTCATGTACAGAAAAAAGTAACTTTATGAAGATACTCTCATGGAAGGGGATGGAACTTATGAGTATGGTTTGTGTTTCAAAATTAGTTCAAAGACTACAGTATGGAAACAGCATAGATATAGGGTAGCAAAGAAAGCTGCCACACACTACTTGTGTCAGGTTCAATGACCTCATGGATGTGAGGCAAACATGATAACCACTACACCACAGAAATGGCTCTAACTGTCCTCAGGGGCATGTCATGTCGACAGCTTGTACCACATTATGGAGCATTTGTGTTTGTTTCTTATTCTGTATTTTCTCCTCTAAATCTGTAACTATAGTCTAAATGGGAGACAAAATTCTTACAAGCACATCTTGAGGAACATTTCATAAAACTCTGGACTAATAAACAGTCGATAACCAGTAAATCACTCTTGACAAACAGGAAAGTCTAAGGGATTGGCACAGATTGGAGGAAGCTGAAGATACCCAACAGCTGAATGCAATGACATGTCCTCTGTGGAGTCTGGAACATGAGCAGCAGGGTTTACTTGGTGCTGATTTCCCAGTGATGATTGGTTCTAACGCTGATGGTGCTACACTATAGGAATGTGAATTTAGTAAGAAATAAGGGGACTGCATGTAGTTTATACAGGAAGACTGCATTGCCTTTGTAATTGTTGTCAAAAGTCAAAACTATTTTTTGTTAAAATGTATTAGCATATATATTTACAAATGTACACTCATACACTCATTAGATCTGGGATGATGAACCCCAAGTGACAATTGTAATTAAGATATTCTTGGTTTATATGCGAAATTCTCAACAACGAAACTCCCTCAGAGTAAACTTCAATGCCAATCATGAGTGTTCTGTATGCTCTGTACTCTAATTATGCACCATTAAGTTCTATGAATGACCTACTCCCACTCTCAAAGGGAGAGCTACCTGTTAGTATGTGTTCTCTTATATGTGTGCCCTGAAAGAAGCAAGACTAGTTGAATAAATATGCCAAGAGAAATTACTTCTAGTGTTGGTATGGACACATTAGTAATGAACTCAAGCTCACCAATAATATGTCATTGTCACATTAAGGAAAAAAATTAAATCACTTACCTTTGTGGTATTTTTTTTTTTTTTTTTTTTTTTGCCAAGAACAAGCCCAGATTTGAATCCTCTGCTTCTCTCTCCTTGTGTCATCAATCATTCCTTATCTGTCTGTTGTGTGAATCTGAATCTCTATCTAGCTGTCCTGTCCTATCTCTCTCCCTCCCCATCTCTCTCTCTCTCTCTCTCTCTCTCTCTCTCTCTCTCTCTCTCTCTCTCTCTCTCTCTCTCTCTCTCTCTGTGTGTATGTGTGTGTGTGTGTGTATGTGTTTCCCTAACACAAGGGTCTTTTGCTCTCTATTTATTTAACAACACAGAAAGTATCACATGGGGAAGGAATGAGAAATACTTTTGAGAAATCTTTAACAGATTATACAAAGGATCAATTTATTGACTCTAACTGACACAGACAATTAAAAAAATGCTATCAAGTGGTATCTGTATGTTGGTTGCACTATCTTTGGTAGATATTCATTTTATAAGGCCACTTTTTTATCCTATTTGCTGTTTTCTGCCAATGATTATCATAACATATACAAAAACACATATATTTCTCTGGGTTGGGGTCATGAGAGTGTACATAATTTAAGAATAAAGTCATGTAATAACTTATCTTGTAAAAGCTGATTACATGGGAAATCCAAGGCAAGTAAGATTGGTTCTTACGTTGTTCTATTACAGGTAGGTTAACAAACAGGTGGAGTGCACAGTAAGAGAGCAATCTTAAGTTTTAAGTGACTGAATTTGATATATATGATTAACTTGGCTGTGAGGGCAAAAAAAAAAAGGCCAAACTCTTTTCATTCAAGAGTTATTTTCATAATATTGTATCAAGAGTTATTTTCATAACACTGTTTCACAATTGCTAAATATTAAAATGTTTTACTACCGTCCACTATGCATTGAGTTAATATCATCAAAGTATAGAATCTAATCCTGATACTATGAAAATATATTTAATCCTCAAATTTATGAGCCCAGGATTCTTTAAATAAACCCCAATCCAGAGCTCTTTATTTATTTTACTGTCTCATACAGAAAACTTCATTTTCAGCTTTTATATCATTTTTCTTAATGTATTAATTTCTCATACAGATTACAATTTTTTTTAATTCCACAAATACTATCATTGGCACAACTCAACAAAGCCATATTTGATGCAGATGATGAAGGATCTTTCAAGCTTAATCTCAGCT